GATCTTAAATAATTGATGTGAACTCGGCTAATAGATGGATTCCATACATAACATAAAATGATGAATAATGTGCGCTCATGTGTTCATCATCATCTAGACGTGGTATCGCTCTCACAGAGAAGCTGCCTCTCCCTCCCTGTCGATGTGGCTAGCTGTGCGCCAAAGAATAATCTCACCAGATGCATAGCTTCCCAGATAACGCATCTTGCAATTTCCAAAGTTAGATCGTATTTCCATAAGACGCTGCCTCCGCTATTTATCAAATTTGCACGCAGGGAATTTAAATTCTTGTTCCAAACCGATGCGGAATACATAATGATCAGCTCGAAATCGATTAAGAAAATGCAATAACAACATAAACTCGCAACAGGAACAGCAAAACAACAACAACAACAACATCAACATTTGCAACAACAACAACAACAATATTTGCAACAGCAACAACCACAACAGAAACACCAACAGAATTTACAGACAGTTACTCATTGAAACTTCATATTATTAATCATATTATGGTCTATAGTTCCCGCCAATACCAGTACAAAACCCCCAGGCTTCCGTCGGCCACAGCGGTCTATCAAACCAATACTTTTGTGTGGGCTGCTAAACCTTTCAGTTTCATGTTTTAGGAAATACCACGCCCCTTGTTGTCTCAAAACAAACTCTGACAACTATATCCGTAATTATATGACCCATTCACGCTGTTAAAAAGCCTATACAAAAGGATACGCACGATCAACACTAAACCAGGCTAGATGACAAAGACTAGACGACAATAAATATCCTGTGCCTTTTCAAATTAAACCTAGAGAAAAATTCAATGATTATTCTAGTTTCATCACAAAGCGAAATCCAACCCGGTCTGATCGCGAAAAGCCCTCGGAATGTTTACAGTACTCTGTCACTAAAAAAATAAGCAAACACATCGTCCATTTAGAACACTGAAAACCAGAAAAGGCACCGTTCAATATCTGAGTGGTTTAATTAAGCTAATTTATACTAGGAATTTTTATTTCTGGAGCTTTATTTCACAGAGTTTTGTGGATATTTTTAAAATACATCGTTTTCAAAGCATTTAATTTCAACAACGTTTCAACCTTCGATTTCGCCTTTGAAGGATGGAGGGAGTTCAGAGGGGGAAACAATTTGGACAGGAGTGGGGGTCACATAATTGTTGGGTAGTGCATCTTTTAAAGGTTCTCTCTGACATCATTACGTGGCAGGTCGTTGTGCACACAGCAAACGTTCAGGGGCCAGGGTATCCGCTGAAGATACAAACGTGTAGAAAATGACGCTCCATGCATGTCACTGACAGAGCTCGTTATTTCTTCTATAATCATACTTAAAGTCATTAAAATCTAATAGCTATTACTAAGAAAGCCCATTCTGAAAAGATCATAATCATCACTACCTTTCCCACCCAGGGTCAGGATATTATAGGCCATGAACAAACACATTCCACCTTTTCATATCCTGGGCAAGCCGCTTGATGTTATTCCATGTCGTCCCACTTTTTTGTCTTTTCTTCTAAAATCAAGCTTAAGGCCACTGAAGTCTAAAAGCTGTAATTCAATAAGCCCATCCTGCGAACATATTGTACTTAAATCAGAGAGTCCTTCCGTAAGTTAGGTTATGAGTTTGGGTTAAGAGAACAAAGTCGACACAATAACTCGAATAGAGTGCAGCGAAAAGGCACAATAGACAGACAAAACTGAAGAAAAAAAAAAAAGGCAAGGACCTATCAGTGGCGCCGTCCAACCACCCACTTTATTGGGTCTATTTTATCCAATGATTTACTCTTAAACAGTAATTACAATCAGGTTGCTTTTGTATATTATGTCTCATTCCTGATGAAGGCAGACCCTGTGGTCTTTTCAACTTATCAAATCTTAATTGTTTTAAAAGTGCATGGATAGCATTATGTTTATTTTCGTTCTGCAGAACTCAAGACTGAAATGACATGTTAACAACAATTGAATTTCAATTTTATGTCCCTACTCTTTGAATTACGGAAACGAGGTCAATTCCAGCACCC